AAAAACATAACACCCCTTATTTTTATCAAAAAAAAAAAAAAAAAAAAAAAAAAAAAAAAAAAAGAGGCATTTAAGAACACTCCAAATTAGGACTGGTAACTTGGATTAGGGCACATATGATACAAAGCAATTCAGTCTTACAAGCCAAAAAGTCAAACCATTAGTGATTAAAATGGGATTACACTAAAGAAAGGCAGGATTTTTCAGGCAACTTTCTTCATGTCTTTGCACCTATGAGTCTCTGCCATACTGATTGAACCACAACCAGATTATCTGGGCTAGATAACCCATCAATGTGTAGGGCCCCTATTTTTTGAATATATTAAATGAATTCAACACCTACTATGTGCCAAGAACTGCTGGCTCTGGATTAAGTTCCACAACTCTGAGTTATTATCCTTATGTTTTAGATTTAAAAAAAAAAAAAAGAAAGGAAAAAAAGGTTTGGTACTAAATAATTTTCCCCAAGTAAATAAAACCTAAGTTGTATCCAATTCAAAGTCCAGGCTCTTTGTGCTTATTATAGAGATTTCATATTACATATCTTTTAATAATTATTTATTTAATTTTATTTATTCACTCATTTATTTTAACTTGACCAGAGAGAGAGTGAGAGAGAAAGTGAGAAAGCAAGCCACCAGGTCCAGGACTCAAACCGTGGTCAGCCACATGGGAGTGTCCAGCACCTTAGCCACCACGCCACCTGTTGGTCCCTAGATTTCATATTACATATTAATTCAGGATTGAATAGCTCTGCTCATGAAAATAAGGTATTTCTGCAAAGCTCCTAGCAAGAACAGGAAATAGAAGAAAAGAAAAGACAGCAACAAAGACATTAGATATCATAGAAGAGTGATACTTACTTCTCTGAAACTTTTTTGCTTAACTTTAGTAATGTTAATAAAATTCTAATTTCAGTTTCCTATTCTACAAGTTCAAGCAATAACACTTTTCAAGACTGCAATGAATAGAGATTAATACATCTAGAGCATCTATTTTGCATAGAGCCCTTTAGAAGGTAAGTATAATGACTATTTCTGAACCAAGCTCAACTAGGTTTTCCAGTAAAAATACTATTTCAGAGTCATACCATGTTCACTTTCACTCCAATGGGAGTAAACAGAAATTTGAGGGAAAGCCCTTTTTTTTCTTTTTAAAGAGATTTTTGCTACCAGGCACACGTGCTCACCAGAGAGAGAAATAGATAGAAAGCGAGAAATCACCCCCCAGGGGGGGATGGCCACCCACAGTCCCTTCCCCACTCTCCTCTTGGGATCTTGGGCATGCACGCACATGCACCTGGCATGAGTTTTAAAGCTGCCAGGTCCAAGACTCAAACCATAGTTGAGTATATGGGAGTCCAGCAATGTAACCATCATGCCACATGCTGGTTCCAAAAGCTCATCACTTTAATCATAAATTCATCCAACAAAAGTGTGAAATAATAGTTAAGGTATTTAACTTCATGAAATGATGATTTTTTTTTTTAAAGAGATTTTTCTATAAGATACACGTGCTCACCAAAGTGACAGAGAGAAATCACTCCCCCAACACACTGGGGATGGCTACACCACAGTCCCTTTTCCTCTATTCTTCTTGGAATTTGAGGCACACATGCACATACGCTGGATGTGAGTTTCAAGTTGCCAGGTCTTGGACTTGAGCCATGGTCAACTACATGGAAGTCCAGTGATGTAACCATTACGCCAACGGCTGGTCCCATGAACTGATGATTCTTGACTCTTGCTGCACATAAGATTCACCCACAAAAGTGTTTTTTGTTTTGTTTTGTTTTCTAATGTTTGCTACAGGGTATGTGTGCTCACTGGAGGGAGGGGGAGAGAGAGAGAGAAATGAAAATGCATACCCCAAGAAGAATGGCCATGCCACAATCCCATCTCTTCCACTCTTTTCTCAGGATTTTGAGTATGCATGCACACTCAAGCATATACTTGACACGTGTGTGTGTCTGTCTGTTTTTTAACTTTATTTATTTGTTTGTTTATTTTAATTTGACCAGAGAGGGACAGAGTAACAGAGAGAGAGAGAGAGAGAGAGAGAGAGAGAGAGAGAAAGTGAGAAAATAAGAAAGAAAGCCTCCAGGCCTGGGATTTAAACTGTGGTCAGCCATGTGGGAGTCCAGTGCCTTTAACTATTACACCACCTGTGGGCCCTGACCAGTGTATTTTTTAAGATACCAGGTCCAGGACACTAAATGCACAATTGGCCACATGGGATCCAGCCACCTCTACTACCATGCCACTGGCTGGTCTGGGTTGTATTTTCAGTCAGCTTTAAGGTATAACCAAAGTACAATAAATTGTAACTATGGTGCTTTTCAATACCTATTCCCAGACCAATAAGTCAGAAGTGTGCGTAGTACATAGTCATAGAAAGTTGTCAAGGCTTCCCAGGTGATTTTAATGTGCGGTCAGGATTAAGAACCACTGATGTCACACTGAAATATGTGCAGTTATTCACCTAACCTTCAAGTTGTATATGAACAATAATTTTTTTTTTCTTTCGATTTTTTCCATAGGCCATGTGTGCTCTCTGGAGAGAAACAAAGAGACACAGAGAAAGAGAAAGTGAGAAATGAAATCACCTCCCAGGGTGATAACCACACTGCAATCCCTTCTCCATTCTCCTCTCATGATTTGAGCACACATGTGCCTGGCATGATTTTCAAGCCTTCAGGTCTGGTACTTGAACCATAGTGATGTGGGAATCCAGTGTCTTAACCACCATGCCACCTGCTGGATCCTAAACAATAAAATTTGATTTTAGAATAAAATTAACTTTTGGTTAGCTATTTTAGAGAACTGAGTGCACTTATTTTTTAATTTAAGCTGCAGGCTCATTAAAGTATCTCTGTGGCACTTTTGTATTATTTGACTCATACAGTCTTATATCAAGGCTGAGTATATGTGCTCTCTGCAACCCAGTGGTTCTTAAGAAGTCAATATAGTTACATATACTTTTTTAGACTCTTCTTCAGACCAGTTATCAATATAGAGTCATTTATTTCCCAGATTAGTTTGGATAGACTAGCTGTTTCAAAAATGTATGCATATGGAAAAGGTTCAGTTATTTTGTTGAATACAATTCTTATGGATGGGGACCAGCAGTTGGTGTAATGTCTATGTCGCTGGACTCCCACGTAGTCGACCACAGTTCGAGTCCCGGACCCGGTGTCTTAAACTCATGCTGGGGGTGTGTGTGTCCAAGATCCTGAGAGGAGAATGGAGGGGAAGGGATTGTGGCATGGCCATCCCCCCGGGGGGGTGATTTCTTGCTTTCTTTCTCTCTGTCTCTCTCTGTCTGTCTGGTGAATGCACATACCCTATAGCAAAAACCTCTCCAAAAAAAAGAAAAAAAAAATTATTGTGGATGGGGGCCAGCAGGTGGTGTAGTGATTAAGGTACTGGACTCCCACATGGCCGACCATGGTTCAAGTCCTGGTCCTGGCAGCTTAAAACATGCTGGGCACATATGTGTGTGCGTGCCTGCCCACAATCCTGAGGAGAATGGAGGAGAAGGGATTGAGGTGTGGCCATCCCCTGGGAGGTTATTTCTCACTTTTTCTCTCTCTTTCTTTCCAGCAAGCACACACACCCTACAGCAAATCTCTCTCTTAAAAAAAAAATCTTGGGACCAGCAGTTAGTGTAATGGCTATGTTGCTGGACTCCCATGTAGTCAACTGTGGTTCAAGTCCTGGACCTGGCGGCTTAAACCTACGCCGGGCGCGTGTGCATGCGTGTCCAAGATCCCAAGAGGAGAATGGAGGATAAGGGATTGTGGTGTGGCCATCCCCCTGAGGGGCGTGATTTTTCCCTTTCTGTCTCTCTGTCTCTCTCTGTCTTTCTGGTGAGCACACATGCCCTATAGTGAAAACCTCTCCAAAAAAAGAAAAAAAAAATCTTATGGCTGTAGAAATAGCTGCATGAGATTTTCTGCAAAACACATGATAGCTTTAGAGCCTAAATTCTTCATCCACAGATTGGGATAATCTCTAGCCCATATGGTTTCAGTATGCCTGGCAGGGCAAGCCCAAGCCAACCAAGAGTTTTAAAAATGTTTTGTCCCCCCTCGGTGGGGGGGGGGGGGGTGATTTCTTGCTTTCTCTCTCTCTCTCTTTCTGTCTCTCCAGCAAGCACATGTGCCCTATAGCAAAAATCTCTCTTAAAAAAAAAAAAAAGATTTTTTTTGCCTATCTGCAGCCATGTAAGCAGGGGGCCACTACTTCGTAGTGACTGAGGTAGCATGGGAGGTCAGAGTTTGCTTCCCAGCACAACCTCTGCAGGCCAGGATCTGTGGCATGTGCCGTTGTCCTAGCTAACTGGGAGGCCAGGGCAGGGGAACTGTGACATGGTGAGACTCTGTCAAAAATATTTATTTCTGGGGCCAGCAGGAGATGTGGTGGTTAAAAGCGCTGGACTCCCACATAGCCAACTGTGGTTCAAGTCCTGAACCCGGTGGTTTGCTTTCTCACTTTCCTTCCCTTTAGAGAGGGGAAAGTCCCTCTCTGGTCAAATAAAAATAAAAATAAATTAATTAAATAAAGTAATTATTAAAAATATATTTATTTCTCTCTTCTGCTCTCATTAAAAAAAAAAGGTATATCTGTGTGTTTGCATGTGCATGCACTTCTCCAAAATGTGGTTTCAATCAAAATTTCGGTGACTTGAGAATTTTATTAGAACCACTTACCTCTGTTTTCTCTGAGAGGTAGTCAAGCTATCCTCTTTTCTTTTCCCCTTGCTAATTTCCTGAGTTTTCTTCATGTTTTTTTGGCGGGCGAGTTCTCGTTGGTTTCCACCTATAAAGACAGTTGTACTCTTTTCCTCTCTCCAAATTTACTAATAATTCTACTAAAGTGCTCTTACTTAAACACATCTGAAGTTTGCTTTTAACACATAAGCCTGCAGAGTACTGCACTGATGGTGTTCCCAGATCTGATGACAGGAAGGAAGATTAAGTTAAACACGGAAAGACTTAAGCGTATTATCATACTAACCTAGGTGTGCACTAGCTGTAAATACCAGATCTTTGAAAATCTCCATCTATATGGGCCAGTGTTCCAAAATAAGTCCTGGCAAGTGTGAGTGGAGACAGAGAGGCAGATACCCAGAAATCACACCTCTCACAAGTTCAGCCCGTCAGACTGTTGAAGCGTGCAAATGCAGATGCGAGTAAAGTATGCCTATGAGAGCCAAACAAAAGAAGCAGGAGGCTCAGCTGAGCTCCCGGTCCTCTTTAGGCACTAGCTGTAAACAGCCGCCAGTCGGGGACCCCTCCCGGGGCTGCCTTCGCACACCTCCCGGGGGTGTATTCTTTACCGTTCGAACTCGCACCTGACGGACAGGTACCTGTCCAGCCCAAGAGGCCTGACCGGAGCCGACCCGTCCCTCCCTCTGCAGCTGGCAGCTAGGGTTCCCACCCCGCCGGACCCGAGGGGATTCGCCGGCCAGCCCAGCCTCCCCGCCGGCCGCTCAGTGCTAGGCTCCCTCGCCGGACGCTCCCACAGCTTCCCGCACACTCACGGGCCATGCCGACCACGGGACGGAGCCTGTGAAAGAGCGACGCGGAAAAGCAAAGGCTCTCTCGCAAGCTCAGCGGTGGTCCCCGCCAGCCGACCGGGAAGGCAGAGCCGGCGCTGGCCCTCTGGGGGGCGCTACGCCTCGGCTCCCAGCGGCCCCGCCCACGGAGAGCCTCCAGCAGCCTCCGGCGGGGCCGGGGAGCCTCCAGCGCCCGCCGGCGGGGCAGGCTAGCCACTGCGCGTGCGCGGCCGCCGGCTAGTCCGCGCGGGGTGGACTCCGCCTCTCCTGTGGAGTCCGCGAACCCGGAGCCCCGCAATCGTGCGCGTTCACAGAAGCCCGAAAACAGGTACCGTGTCTGAGAGAGGGACAGGCATGAGGGTTTTCTGACTCGGCGAGGGATACTGGAGCTTGATCAGCCCTCCCTTTTTGAAAACAAGCGACTCTAAACACTATAGTACCTACCTTTTCGACGAAAACGTCTCATTCATCCCCTCGCAGAGGCGGGCAGGGGACTGAACAGATGGAGGGCTAACTGCGAAAGACAGTCGACCCTTTCATATGTTCCTTCCTTATTCTAGTAACTACCCTGCAAGGCAGGCTTCATTGTTCTCATTTTACAGTAGAGATTGACCGAACAGGTAGGAACCAGTGGAAGTTAAATTTAAGGACTTCGAAAGGCTGCTCATTTCCCATTTTATCCGGTGCCCTTGTGGTCGACGGTACTTGAGTTTTAGCAACCGGTGCTTGGGTTATGAAATAGGGAGAGAATGGCAAAAGAATACAGTCTTATCACCTATTCAGAATAGCCCAGAATAACCTCAGAATCCGCATTAAAGCTGTTGCTAGAAACAGCGTGCAAAGATGCTCATGCTGTTCACTTAGGCGATACTTAATTTCTTCACTTATTCCATCTGAGATGGTCTGGACACCTTAAAATTGCCCTATGTTTTTTTGAAGCTTTTATTTGGAAGGTTTTAAACACATACAGAGCTATGGTGTTTAAAAATACTATAGTAATCTCAAGTACACATGCCCAAACTTCAATTATATTTCTTCATAAATTACCTGTTTTAGAGAAGAAGAGAGAAACTAGTGAAGACTTAGGGCTCTGAAAATAGAGTATCTATTGAAAACCCAGCTCTACCAATTAGCTCAGTCGAGGTGGATACATAATTTCATTGTATTAAAACTTTCTCTTTTTTTTTGGAGAGGTTTTTTGCTGTAGGGCGTGTGCGCTTGCCAGACAGAGAGACAGGGAGAGACATAGAGACAGCGAGAAATCACCCCCCAGAGGGGATGGCCACGCCACAGTTCCTTCTCCTCCATTCTCCTCTCGGGATCTTGGGCACGCATGAACATGCGCCCGGCGTGAATTTTAAGCCACTGGGTCCGGGACACGAACCACGGTCGACTACATGGTCATTCCACAATCCCTTCTCCAGCCTCCTCTTGGGATTTTGGGCATGTACACACATTCATCTGGCATTATTCAAGCCACAGGACCTGGGACTTGATCTTCGAAGCCATAAACAGGGACCAGCAGTTGGCATAATGGCTGTATCGCTGGATTCCCATGTAGTCCACCGTGCTTCAAGTCCCGGACCCGGTGGCTTAAATTCACACCGGGCGTGTGTGCATGTGTGCCCAAGATCCTGAGAGGAGAATGGAGGAGAAGGGATTGCGGCGTTACCACCCCCCTGGGAGGTGATTTCTCGCTTTCTGTCTCTCTTTCTGGCGAGTGCATGCGCCCTATAACAAAATACCTCTCAAAAAAAAAAAGAAAAAAAAACATAAACAAAGCATTAGTGTCTTTCAGTTGATTTAAAATATTGGTAGTGAGACCAGCATGTGGTGTAATGGTTATGTCACTAGACTCCTACATAGTCAACTGTGGTTTGAATCCTGGACCCAGAGGCTTAAAATCCACGCAGGGTGCATGTGAGTGCATGCCCAAAATCCTGAAAGGAGACTGGAGGAGAAGGGATTGTGGTTTGGCCACCCCCTGGAAGGAGGGTGTGATTTTTCGCTTTCTGTTTTTCTCATGACAAGCACATGCACCCTATAGCAAAAATCTCTCTATAAAAAACAAACAAACAAACAAATAAATAAAATATTGGTAGCTAAATCTGAGGGATCAAATGAAGGCAGGAAACTATTTTGCATCTCCGTAATTTGTTTGTGAAGACCTTTCATATCTAAGGAAATAGTGTTAGAAGACTGCACCCCATGGAGGTCATTTTGTATTGAAGTCCAATTTTAAAATAAGTCATTATATGGCAAAAGTGTTACGGGGCTGACTCCCACATGGCTGTTCATAGTTCGAATCCCAGACCTGGTGGCTTACGTTCTCATTTTCTCTCACTCTGTCCCTCTCTAGTCAAATTAAAAATAAATGAATAAATAAACAAAATGAAGTTAAATAATTCTTTTTAAAAAAGTGTTACACAAATATGTTTATATAATGCATAACATCACAAATAACTTTGTAATAACTTTGTAATTGCATTTTAAAAACATGTTTTCCTAGAACATCTGTGGTAGTTTCCAGCTCTCACAGATGGAGAAGATTAATTCATCAATACCTAGTTGGGTGCCCATTATATGGGAAGTATTACGTGCAAGAATATAAACAAATGTGGCAATGTTAGTTTGTTGGGTCAAAGCAACTGCCAAAGTGGCTAGGGAGGCAATTAAAGTAATTGCAGTAAGAATTCCCAAGATAATTGCTCCTAAAAATTTCCTTGGCTATGATAATTATGAATTTCTTATAAGACTTGAAGTCTAAATCATTATATCAGGGGTCAGAGATTCACATAGGCACTATAACATATGAAGGATGATGTAGTACCAGTATGTCTTGGCCTGAGTTGTACCTGATAACACAAGATTGCAATTATTTCAAATTATAAAAATTTTACTCTGTTGGGACCAGCAGTTGGCCTAATGGCATAATATATGGCAGGCTACAGCAGCCAGATATGACTTCCAGAGATAACAACAAAACAACTCAAAGGCCAACACATGTAGCACAAATAAAATTATTATTATTATTTTATATAAGATTTAATTTTTACTGTTTTAGCCAGTAATCCTGTAATTGGGCCATAAGAGAACCAAAAAAATCAAACTTTAGGAAAACCAGTCTTATTTACAAGCATTTAAAATTTTTTCTTCTTTTATTTTTTGAGAGGTTTTTGCTATAGGGTGTACGCTCACCAGAAAGACAGAGAGAGACAGAGAGAGACAGAGAGACAGAAGGGGAGAAATCACCCCCCAGGGGGAATGGCCATGCCTCAATCCCTTCTCCTCCATTTTCCTCTCAAGATCTTGGGCATGCACACATGTCCAGCATGAGTTTAAGCCACCAGGTCCGGGACTCAAACCACGGTCAACTACATAGGAATCCAGTGACATAGCCATTATGCCAACTGCTGGTCCCTAAAATTTTTTCTTTTAACAATTATGTCCTGATTTTCTGTGAGAAACAAAATATTGGAGAAGGCTAGTCATAAATCCATTTTGTCTTTTTGTCACATAGTCACAGGGTAATATGTAACACATAATAATATATAAGTACCAACTGTTTTATTAAATTAGTCATAAGACAAATATGATGTTGCCTAATCAAAAAAAAAAAAAAAAAAAAAAAAACCTCTGGACAAACTATGTGTTGGAAATTATGAAGATTTTCGTTTATTATTATTTTTAACCATAATAGAAGTCAACTTATTTGCCAAAGATTTTAAGTCACATGAACTTGAAAAGTTTTAAATTAATATGTATGAACACTCTTTTTATAAATTAAGTTGAATGCCAGGGCCAGAAGGTGGTGTGGTGGTTAAGGTGCTGGACTCCCACATGGCTGACTATGGTTTGAGTCCTGGACCTGATGGCTTGCTTTCTCACTCTCCTTGCTCTGTCTCCTAGTTAAATTGAAGAATAATAAGTAAAATTAAATTAATAGTTCTTTTAAAAAATTAAATCAAATGCACTTCCTTAAGACCTTTGATCCCATAGACATGCAATATAATACATGAGAACACACACATATACACATGTAAACAAAGATTTCATAAATGCTCCCTGATTTTTTTTTTTCTCTGACCTTGTTTTAGGTCTCTTCATTTATTGTTCCCTGTTCCAGGAACCAAGGACATACTTCCTGTACAAAATCCAGGAATTTTTGTAACTGTTTGATACTATTGTCCCGTGCTTTTAACATACAAAACAATGTTTGGATATATAGATCTGTCTCTTTAGACAACTGTATCCCCATATTTTATACTCAACTCTAATCTACTCCTTACCTTAATATCTCAATTCTGGGCCCAGACTTAAGGAATGTCTACTCACCTGGTTCTTTGTAGTTCTCTTATATTAAGGTCCCTATTTGGGTGCCACCTATTGGGGCCCAGCTGGCAAGAGGTATACCTGAGGGGGAGCAGTAGTGGATTGGAAAGAAAACACACAAACACACTGTAGAGAAAAGTGAGGATCAGATTGTCCAGGCATCTCTGATGGAGATAGCCATGGCTGTTCCCAGGTTTATTTGTTTTTTTTTTTTAATAATTATTTTATTTAACTTTATTTTTATTTTAATTTGACCAGAGAGGAAGAGAGAGAGAGAGAGAGAGTGAGAAAGCAAGCTGCCAGGTCCGAGACTCAAACTGTGGTCAGCCATGTGGGAGTTCCAGCACCCTTAACCACCATGCCACCTGCTGGTCCCTCCAGGTTTATTCTTTAATAGGGCAAAAAGGGGTGGATCCATGATGAGAAGCAGGTTCTGTGGAACATCCTGTGTCTTGCAGTTCTAGCCTCTTCTTGTCTCTCCTGGCCCACTCTGGCTAATACACAGTTTCTCTCTTCCTCTGCTGGCCTTGCAGCATGGGCATACATTGTAGGAAACTCTGCCTTTGCTCATCTTTAAAGACTACCATTGTTCTGCTAAGATCCGGCACTCCCTACAGGATTACGGTATAACCGTGTTCCATTGCAGGCTGAATTCCTTCTCTTTTTCCCCAAGTGCATATGCCCTCTATCTTAATAGAAAAAAGTACACAGGGAGGAGCTGGTCCCTTAGTGGTTCAGTTGGGCAGAGAGATTAGATCCAACATGGTCAAGTGGAATTGGAATCGCAGTGCAGGCAGCTGCAGTGCAGTGGGTGCCTGCCCAGGATCCTGACAGGATGAAGAAATGGAGGAAAAAGGATTGTGGAATAAACAATTTCCCTTGGGGTGCTTTCTCCCTCCACCCCACCTGATCTACAAGCCCACGATTCCATTAAAAAGTATACAAGGCCAAAGTCAGGGTAGATGGTCAACTTCCTTGTAGTTCCTTTACTCAGGAGGCTGAGGCAGGAGGATTGCAAATTCAAGGCCAGCCTGGACAACATAGCAAGACTCTTGTCTCAACCCCCTCCCTCCAACTTCCCCATAAAAGTACACAGTAGTCTTCCTTTCACGACTGTTTTCCAAAAATCCAGTTCCTCTCCTCAGAGGTAACCATTGTCAGTTTCTTCATTGACAATTTCTCCAAAATTCCAAATCTATGTTTTGTTCAATCTAGAATTTTTTTTTCTTAATTGTATTTAACTTTATTTATTCTAACTTGACCAGAGCAGGACAGAGCAAGATAGAAGGAAAGAGCGAAAGCAAGCCGCCAGGTCCGGGATCCGAGCCGGCGGGCCATGTGGGAGTCCAGTGCCTTTAACCACCGCACCACCTGCCGGCCCCTCCATCTAGAATTTCTCAGCAATAGGGGAAACGCTGGTGAGCAGGCACTGCTCTCATATAGTTTAACTACTTTTCAGAACCCTTTAAGAACAACATCGGCCAGCGATTTCATAGTTCCCACAAAAATGTGCACTGTGGCGTCAACCGCCTCCTTTCCCTGTATTCAGTTCTCCCTACAGCCGGCTGGAGAAGGAAGAGCACACGCTCTGCATCCCAGTTTCGCGTCCACCAGGAACCCAGGCTCCACAGCTTCGTAGTTACCATGGCGCCCGGCGCCGTGCGTCTGACTTCATCTGCGGCGATAACTGATGACGCAATCCGTTCCCGCGCCCTCTGAGGGCGGGGGAGCGGGAGGAGGGAGAAACTTAGCTATTCGTGTGGCAGGGTCATGAAGAAGAGGCGGCGGCGAGAGCGAGGAGGTGGTGGCGGGGGCCTG